TTTTTGAGATGGAGTTTCACTCTGTCACCCAGCATGGAGTGCAGTGGCGTGATCTTGGCTCACTGCAACCTCTACCTCCCAAGTTCAAGCAATTCTCTCCCTCAGCCTCCCAAGTAGCTGGGATCACAGGTGTGCGACACCACACCTGGCTAATTTTTGTATTTTTAGTAGAGACAGGGTTTCACCATGTCCAGGCTGGTCTCGATCTCCTGACCTCAGGTGATCTGCCCTCCTTGGCCTCCCAAAGTGCTGGGATTACAGGTGTGAGACACCATGCCCAGCCTTTTTTTGTTTTTGTTTTTCTTTTACTGTGGCTCTCGATTGATTGATTGATTGAGATTGAAATAGAGTCTAGCTCTGTCACCAGTGCAGTGCTGTGATCATAGCTGACTCCACCCTCTGCCTCGTGGTCTTAAGCAATCCTCCCGCCTCAGCCTCCCAAGCAGCTGGGACCACAGGTGGGCATCATCACACCTGGCTAATTTTTTATATTTTTTGTGGAGATGGAGTCTTGCTATGTTGCCCAGGCTGGTCTCAAACTCCCAGGCTCAAGTGATTCCCCTGCCTCAGCCTCCCAAAGTGTTGGGATTATAGGTGTGAACCACCATGCCTGGCCTAGATGCAAGGCCTTTGACACCATTCACCCATTGACCCCCTAAATCTGCCAGGCCAGCTGAGCTCTCTGCCCGGGGTGGCAGCCTGGGGCCTCCATGGCCTGTGCGATATCTCCCCCAGAACAAGTGAGTCCTGCTCAAAGCTGGGAGTCGGATTTCAGGAAAGTGTTGAAATAAGGAAAGCGATGGGCCAACCGGGCAGGGGCAGACAGCAGGAGCCTCACCCGGTCACGTGGGCCCCCACGTCCTGTGTCTCTGGGGCTTCCCAGGAGCCACCTAAACCCCAGAGCTGTCCATACCCCTGAACTGCTGAGATTTCCCCATCCCATGGCTTTCCAGCCCAGGAGGTCACCAGAGCCTGGCACAGAGTCCTACCTGGAGTCCAGAGATGGGGCCACCAAGGTGATGGGACTGAGGGGAACTACAGAAAGTAAGAAACTTGTGACCATTTTGGGAATATGTGGGCGACAAACACCCCAAGCTTGGGGACAGTAGCAGGCGGGACAGGAATTCAAGGGAAATAGAAGTGCCTGGCAGGGGCCAGGCGCGGTGGCTCAGGCACTTTGGGAGGCCGAGATGGACAGATCATTTGAGGTCAAGAGTTCAAGACCAGCCTGGCCAACATGGTGAAACCCCATCTCTACTAACTATACAAAAAGTAGTCAGGCATGGTGGTGCATGCCTGTAATCTCAGCGACTCAGGAGGCTGATGCAAGAGAATTGCTGTTGAGAAATGCTGAGTGTCTGATAAAATATATTGTGGAGATGGAGTCTTGCTATGTTGCCCTTCTACTAAGAAGAACGATGGCAGGAAAAACCTGGCCGCCCCCCACCCACAAGTGGAAAACTGTTTGGAGAATTCTTAAGTGGCAGGACAATAGACAAATATCATACACCGGTTAAAACAGCTCTCTAAATGCAGGATAGGTGATCCTGCCCCCGTGGCTCCCTCATGGAGAATACTTTTCAGTTTGTGATCAGTGGTAAGCAGGCACCAGCTGCCTGCCTAGTTTATCTTGGTTCTATGAGAAAACACAGAACACCTGTTTGTTAATAATTATCACCTGTTCAGAGAGACTAACTACGTGGGTCAGCGTCTGCTCAAGGCCCTCGGCCCAGAAGGCTGTCAGCTCGGAAGGCTGTTGCCCTTCCTTCCCCCGCCCGCCCCCGCCCCACTTCCCTTCCCCGGCCCCCGTAGTCCCACTTTGCTGTTCTATCTGGGTGTCTCCTTCTTAATTCCTTCAGCACCGCCGGGTTGGGGGTCTCTAGGGCCAAGCTGGACTCTGTAAATTGCTTGAACCCGGGAGGCAGAGGTTTCAGGGAGCCGAAATGGCACCACGGCACTCCAGCCTGGGCAACAGAGTGAGACTCAGTCTCAAAAAAAAAAAAAGTGCCAGCAGGATCTGGGGACAGCCTGGAGCCTCCCCACCTCCTTGCCTTCTTCCTCTGTCCTCCCCTGCCCCACCCCCAGCGGCCCCCACCCTATGTGCTGGCCGTGGAGCAGAAGCCACTGTCACTTCCTGAAGACAGCAGCCCCAGCTCGGGTCCCACTCATCCTGTGGCCCTTCACCTTCCTGCAGCCATGGTGAGTCGGGGGAGAGGCCCGTACCTCACTGGCGGGAAAGCAAGGGACACAGCAGGTGTTCCCGGGAGCACAGGCTTCACCTGTGGAGGGGCCCGGGGTGGGGTGGGAGGGCGGCGGGGAGGGTGCTTCGAAAGACATCTGGGAAACGGGAAGGGTCACAAAAAGGTCCCGAAGTAGGAAGCCACAGGCACACCCCAGGACAGTGCGGGCTCCTGGGGGCCCAGGCTCAGACTGGTTCTGCAAGGGGGAAAGGTGGGATTGCCCAGGGGATGACTCTTGTCTCCCCAGGTCAGCATGAGCAGCAATGAGTGAACGGCCAGCTGGGTTGAGAGCAGCACTTTCCTGTGGGGTGATAAAGTGGGTCATGGCCCTCCCCCTGGCCAGTCACCCAAGTTGTGACCTGCTAACCCTGACTTATCTAGCCCTGTGGTCACCCGGGAGCACTTCCTTCAAGTGGGGAAGGAAGGCTTTGACAGGGGCACTTCAGGACCCAGGTGGGACTCGCTGCGTTTCCAAGGAGCATTCCCGGTCCTTGGTCCTCTGGATGGGGAAAGGGAGGCACATGAGGGAGGCAGAAGCCACACGTTTCTGCCCTTTCCCTCCCCCAGTCTCCTTGACCGCAGTTGAAGGAGGCATTTGTAGGTCCCAGGAGGCCTGGCCTGCTTGTGAATCTGCCTGCGCCTGTGAACTGTGGTTGTGGGGCCAGCTGGGAGGGTACCTGGGACAGCTGGGTGTGCAGGAGACGGCACAGGTGCCGACAGTATCCACACCAGTCCTCTCAGAACTGTGAATTATGAGCACCCCTGACCAGCAGCCCATGTGTCAGAGATGGCATGAGAGAGACCACATGGCCACACCTGTCTCCAGACGTCTCTGTATTTCTGATGGCCAGGCTGAGTACGTGGCGGTCTTTGTGCCCCCCGAGTATTAGTTCAGCAAATATTTACTGAGCACCTACTATGTGCCAGGCCCTGGGATGATAGTGATAAATGAGCCAAGTCTCTGCCTTGCAGAGGCTGGGGAACTGGGGGAAGTTGCAGTGTAGAGAGACAAAAAAAAAAAAAAAAAAAAAAAAAAAAAAAAAAAAAAAAAAAAAAAAAAAAAAAAATCAAGACACATTAAAAATGGTGTGACACATGGGATGGGAATGAAGTGGAAAATCATGCAGGCTGGATGCAGGGGAGTAGGGGATGGGGTGATCCATTTAAGATAGGGTGGTCTAGGCCAGCTGCAGTATCTCGCACCTGTAATCCCAGCACTTTGGGAGGTCAAGGTGGGTGGATCACTTGAGGTCAGAGTTCAAGACCAGCCTGGCCAACATGGTGAAGGCCTGTCTCCACTAAAAATACAAAAAAATTAGCTGGGTGTCATGGCAGATGCTTGTGATCCCAGCTACTCAGGAGGCTGAGGCAGGAGAATCGCTTGAACCCAGGAAGTGCAGGTTTCGGTAAGCTGAAATTGTGCCACTGCACTCCAACCTGGGCAGCAGAGTGAGACTCCATCTCAAAAAAATAAAATAGGGTGGTCTAGGGTGGGTGTGGTGGCTCATGCCTATAATCCCAGCACTTTGGGAGGCTGACGTGAGTGGATTCCTTGGGGCCAGGAGCTTGAGACTAGTGTGACCAACACAGTGAAACCCTGACTCTAGTAAAAATACAAAAATTAGCCAGGTGTAGTGGTGGCTTCCTGTAATCCTAGCTACTTGGGAGGCTGAGGCATGAGAATCCCTTGAACCTGGGAGGCGGAGATTGCAGTGAGCCAAGATAGCACCATTGTACTCCAGCCTGGGTGACAGGGCATGACTCCATCTCAAAAAAACAAATACAATAGCGGCGGTGGTGGCTGTGTAGGGAAGCTGGGCTGCAGGCCTTTCTGAAGCTTTTAGCTTGAACTGGGGGACATGAGGAAGCATTGCCAGGTTTTGAGCAGAGGGACACGCACAGACTCGGTGCTCAACAGGCTTCTTCCTCCAGCTGCTGTGAGGGAACTGAGCAGGGATGGGAGGTAGGCAGTGGGTTAGGAAAGGGCTTGTTAGAATAATCCAGGCAATTGGCTGGGGGAAGGTAGATAGTGCCTCCCACTTCCTCCTGAGGTGACAGTGGTGAAGGCAGTGAGAAGTGGTTGGATTCCGGATGTGTTACAAAATAGGCACAGAAGGGACTGGGGGCGCAGGCGCAGTGGCTCACGCCTGTAATCCCGGCTACTTGGGAGGCTGAGGCGGGAGGATCATTGGAGCCCAGGAGTTGGAGGCTGCAATGAGCTATGATTGCACCACTACATTCCAACCTGGGCGATAGAGCAAGACTGGAGACACGCAGTGGCAGGAGTGAAAGAATGAGGGGGTTGGCTGGGCGCAGTGACTCACGCCTATAATCCAAGTGCTTTGAGAGGCTGAGGCAGGCAGATCATGACGTCAGGATATTGAGACCATCCTGGCTAAGATGGTGAAAACTCGTCTCTACTAAAAAAAA